GGAAGGACACATAATAGAAATGTTACCGGTTCTAAACGTCATGGGGAACGCACTGGTGCTTTTGTACCCCCACGTACGATGATTCAGGAGGAGACAGAGACAGAGGCCGAGCAGGAGATGGATGCACCCATGGATGCATATATGCAGCCGCAGGAGTACGAGTACGATCCACAACTACGCTTTCAGCAGAAGTATCAGTTTCCGGTGCCGGATTTTCCATCCGATGACGATTACGAGGATGTTCGGACTCCGACTCCGCCTCCTGTCCCGATGGGTGGTACTTTCGATGGTTCTAATCCTGTCTCGAGGTCCCGCACCGCTCCGAGAAAAAAACTTCCTTCTCGACCTTGGATGTTGACCGGTGAGACACCCGGTGGACCTAAATACGCTCACTTGATTCCAAGTTTTGGAGCACACATTGCCTACGACATTTGGGAGGGAAAGGTAATACTTATTAATATTAATAAATTTTGTTTATAATATTTACACTTGCTTGTGGTATACTTATATATGAATATATCTTGAACAGGGTCGACATATGGTTAAATTACGGTCGCACGCGAAGTGTACTTGGCCGGGGCCCGACGACGATGATTGTGTCTCACTACTGGAGAATACCGGCTTGTATCACTTGCGTGATTGTTCGCTGCCTCAGCACAATAACCCACTCATAGAGGCTTTTATTGAGAGGTGGCAGCCGGACACCAACAGTTTTCACATGCCATTCGGTGAGATGACAATTACCCTGCACGACGTGCATTACATCATGGGTTTGCGAGTTAGTGGAACTCGCCCTAACGTTTGGATGGATAAGGCCGACGCGATCCAGCTTCGTGCGAGAGCTTTCGGGGTCGCACCCGCACTTATGGAGCAGTGGTGGTATGGTGGCGGACCCCGGTTAGATGATTTGGAGGTGAAGTATGGCGACAATTCTACATTTCCTTCTGCGTATCGGGTACGAGCATATATTGCATACTTGCTTGGAAAGTTGTTGTTCGTGGATAAGAGTGGATCGAAGGTTAGAGCAGATTTTTTCCCACTGTTAGAGGAAATCAATCTCATTTGCGAGTATTCTTGGGGTTCGGCTACATTGGCCTATCTGTACCGACAGTTGGGCATGGCTACGCGAGCTGAGGTGGCGCAGATTGCTGGATGTCTGACACTATTAGAGGTATTATTATTATTATTACTATTATTATTATTGTTGTTGTTGTTGTTGTTGTTGTTGTTGTTGTTGTTGTTGTTGTTGTTGTTGTTGTTGTTGTTGTTGTTGTTAATTATGCCGTATTATTATTTCCCGTACTGTGTTGGTGTTGTTGTTGTTGTTGTTGTTGTTGTTGTTGTTGTTGTTGTTGTTGATGTTGTTGTTGTTGTTGCTGTTGCTGTTGGTGTTGTTGTTGTTGCTGGTGTTGTTGTTGTTGTTGTTGTTGCTGTTGTTGTTGTTGCTGTTGTTGTTGTTGTTGTTGTTGTTGTTGTTGTTGTTAATTATGCCGTATTATTATTTCCCGTACTGTAGTGTTGGATATATGAGTATTTTCCGTGTTTCCGGCCTCCGATGGTTAACGCACATGTTACGGGAGAGCCATGGTGTAAATCGGTGGCAGTGTGATACATCATATTCCTAAGGACGAGGATATACTTGTAGATTATCGTAGACGTCTCGATTCGATGCGTCCGTCAGATGTAAGTATCTATGTGTATTATATAATCGTAGACGTCTCGATTCGATACATCATTTTATATTAATTATGCTTATTAATATATGTGTATTATTAAATGAATGTAGGTGAATTGGACGCCATTTGGATTGAAAGTGGCATCTGAAGTTGGAAAGACGGTTCATCACGGGACTATTCGATGGATGGATACGGTCGAGCCTTATATGCCCGATAGAGTTTTGCGTCAGTTCGGGTTTCGGCAGATTAAACCGGCGGACCCAATTCGTCCGCTAAAAGGTGCTAAGAGGGAGAGAAAAATAGCATCTTACAAGGTTAACTATGAGCCCGGCGATCAGATGTGGAGTATCCCCCACACGCACATGCTTAGTCGAGATTACTATGGTCGTCCGGCGCATCCAGCTTGGGAGTCGGATCCGGAGTATATGCCGTGGTATCTAGACCACACCCACGCCCGTGTACATCCTAGTACCGAGCCGGTTGAGAGAGCGGAACCATCTGCAGTTCCGGCTATATATGACCTCACCCGAGTGTTGCATCCGTACTTCTAC